AGGGCCCTTCAATTATTGACATAAAAAAACCAAGTTCAACTTATTGTCCATCCTTTGGATATTTTCTCCTCAACTCTAACTTTATTGATTATAATAATTTTCATAAGAAAAACTTGTAGCTAACATTTAATTACTTCTCCTTTCATGCAAGGCCAAAATAAATAATTTTCTGAAAGCTATTTAAAAATAAAGCACTTGATTTAATTATTTGAATGATAGAGATGTTTTCATTGGGATTAATGAAAATAAAAGTATAAAATATAAAATACATAATATATAAAACTATTTGTTGGAAAAGTTGCCACTTATCTCTCATCTTTTTAAATTTATCCATTTATAAGACCTTTTTATACTCCACTCAACTCCATTAGGCTTTAAGGTGTTTCTAGAAAACAAGTTTTTGTCTGTCCAAAAGTCAAAAGGTTTAAGAAGAAAAACAAGTATTAAAATTAAAGGAGGAATGGTGCTTATTTTTTTCCTCTTAAAAAAAAGACTATCACAAATTTTAATGTATATAATGTTGTTAAGTAATGTGAAGAATGAACTGGTGCTTGATTTTAATGAAAAATTAAAGGGATGGTATGAATATCTGGGAAGTCTCAATGTTGAATAGCAATTTATCTCATTTGGTCTACAAATTAAGTAATTTGTAAACATATAAACAAAGTACATAGCTTTAGGCATCTGAACAACAACAAAAACTCAGTTGAAAACATATTAAAACTAATTGCAAGATGGTCCTGCTTTCTCTTAGTAAATGGAAGATCTTTGTATCTTCAGCCCATGTCAAGGACCTGGATTAGGAGTTGCCAGGTTTGCCAGAATGCATTACTCAGCATAATGCAAGTCCTGTCCACTGCACCGCTGTCTGCAGGAGTCTTAACAATCCACTGTGCTGTCTTGTAAGAATGATGCCTGTGATCGTTTCTGAATAGTGTAGGAGAGCTTCTGGAAATATCAGCTCCATAAATCTGGGCTCTTCTTGTTATTTCTAATGATGCTACATATTATCTGTGGTCATTTATTGTTGGCATCATTATAGCAGCATCTAGAGGCATCTGTGCACCACCTACATATCCTGCCTGACTAGTAAGAACAAAAACTTCCTTTTAGGGAGAAAACGTGACTCTTGAATTGGTATATAATTTTCTCTATCTTAGGATATTTATAGTTTTAAGAAGGTTAAACCATTCTTTTTAGTAGGCAGTAAAATTTGTGACTGTAGTTTCTCTTTTCTGTGCTGCTCAGTTATTTTTCCCCCTTTCTTTAGGGACTATAGCTTTTTCTTATTGGTATGGGTAGCAGTAATTGACCTCTAAATAACTCAGCTGTTATATTTTAGAAAGAAGCAATATCGTGTAATAGGAAAACATTAAAGTGGTAGTCAAAGCACTTATCCTTTGGCCTCAGATCTCCCATGGGTTTGACCTCTCATGGCTTCCATACTCCTTGTTATTTGATTGAGCTGATAAGTAAAAAGGGTGAAGTATGGGACAGTACTTCTTATGTTGTAAATTATTCTAGGGTTATTTTATGTTATGATGGCTTACAATTATGCTTTTTGGAGTGAACTTAGGTTTATGTCTAAGAAAGAACTTGAACTCTCCAAAATGATGCCATGATTCTAGTAAGTAGCATAATTAATTCAAAATGGAAACCTGTACAAGTAAAAGGTTGGCAAGAACAGGATCTTATGGGCACCATTTCTGTTTCTAATCTTTTCAGTTTAATATGATTGAGTGAGGGAAAGAATAGAAACACAACAACAGAAGAAAACTAAAAATAACTGACTTTATTGTGGAAAATGTGTATAGAGGATACTATTGTATTTCCATATAGAACATTCTATGTTTATATTTCTTTAATCCATTCCAACTAACAAGATCTCCATTTTCGTTCAGGTCAAAATTAAAGAGAATGGTATTAAACCAAAGAATGAAATAATTAGATATCATAAAACACATTCTTTCATGAAAGACTAAGAAGTTACTAGATGTAGAAGATCTGGCTCTATAATGAAATCCCAAAGAGGTGATTTTAAAATTATATCTTTTATGGAAGTATGAAGAATAATATTTGGTGATTCTTGAAGACCCTGCAATTTTTATGTTTTAAGATTTTATAATATATGCCTACATAATTAAGATAATAAAATATGTAAACACAAAAAAATATTATTCCATTCATGCCTTCCCTTACTTAATAAATTGCATCATAATACAAATTGCATTTGTTAATCATTGGCATTTCTTTTGAAGATTCATTTTAGTCATCTAGATTGGAAGTTTTGATTGCTCTTGATGATTCTCTTATAGCCTTTCTTGATTATTTTCTAAATTTGATGACAAACACTGCAACATGTCTCAGCCAATTAGGCTTGTCAACTTTCACTGTGGTCTCCAATCAAGTGTTTGACTTTGGAAATGACAGGACATCCTTATTAAAAGTCATGCCTCTTGGATAGAGATGTGGCAGCTCACATGTGGATAATGGCACAAAGACAAACAGCCTTTCATTAAAAGTGATAAAAGGAAATCAATTTTAGCAGGAAACACTCCAGACTATGAAGACCAAGAGAAAAGATTATCAAGCACCTCACTTAGAGTTGATTGGAAATTGAATCAATCTAAATGAGCATGATTTATTAGGAATTAAAGGTCGTTGATATACATGAGTTGAACAAAAGTTAGGAAAATATTTTAAGCATCAATATAATTTTACAAGCTGTTTCTAAATGCATATCAAACCAAGAGAAAAAAAGTGCAATTAATTTCAAACTAAAAATAGAAATTAATCCCCGAAAAACAGCTACCTGTGTAATCCACTGTGTAGCTGACACATCATATGAGACATAAATAAACTTACAGAAATGATGAGAGACAATTCTGGGTCATTTCTGAAGGGAATGACAATTTCATTCATGAAGATTTTTTTCCTACTTCAGTAGCTAAATTTCTGATTATTTTTATGTGTCCTTGATAAGCACTATCATAATAGGAAAATAAAAAGTTTGAATTTGTTAAAAAGCTGAAGATAAAAGGAAATGTTTAGAGTAAAAATGTAGATCTGGTCTTACATTTTTTTGTATATATATATATATATATACACACACACACACACACACACACACATTTTTTTTTTCCTGTTCAAAGCATTTAGGTCAGCTTCAAACACAGTATCCCACGATAGAACATATTCCCAAAGAATTTGCTGTTTGCTCATTTAAACCACCTAGATTACAAAAAAAAATTCATAAAATTTATCAATAGTTTGATTTTTTAATGCTTCTAAAATACATATCTGAGAGATGCAGCAAAGGGAATTTAGAATTAAAATAAGAATAGTATGATTTTTTCTTTTGATGATAAAATTAAGAGGATCTGCTCATTTAGAATTCAAATAGCAGCATGTGTGACTTCAAAAAATAATTGCCTTTGCATTTTACATTTAAGAAAGTGTAAATTAATTCTAAATTTTCCATGAACACCACTGTCATTTCCTTCTGACCTCTCAGCACTTGGCATAAAAATCCCAGGCTGGTGTGGTTCAAAAATCAATGGGCTGACAAATGTCCATATTTCTGTTACCCATCACAGAAGAAAAAAAAATGATAGGTATTATTGTAGAGCCTTGATTTTAAATATTTAGCAGAGTAGAACTTCAAAAATGCTTTATATAATGTTAAAATAGAGGACATAATATGGGTACAAAAATGCAAAAGGTACAAATCTATTGAGATTTAAATAATCCTCTTCTCTCCTATCTGAACCCTATTCACCCAAGCTTAGGCAAACGCAAGTCACTGTGAATTTATTTCAGAGGTCAAAATTTGTCTGTTTTAAAGTCCCACGTCTTGCAATAAATTGATATCATATGACATACATTGGAGTAGATCTTGTATGTGGTGATAATCTGTAAATTGAATTAAATCCAACAAGTTATTCTCTTAGAATCTGTTGAGGTAGAGTAGGTTTTTCTCTCCCTCACTCTTTCTCAAAGAAAAATATTCTATAAAAAGATCTTTAGTGTAAAGAAAATGTGTAACTATTTTCCAGAGACATACACATATCATGATTTTACTTATAAATCATACAATTTCTTTATGACTGCCACCTTTAATCTTCATCCTTAAGAACTCTCTAGAAAAGACTTAGCTTTTTAGAAATGGAATATATTTCTCATTCCCTTGGGTGACACCATTAATTAGGAATATATGCTATTTCATCAACTGTTTAGGAACTTATCTACATTTACATGATACATTACATTCAGATAATATTTCCATTCATCAAACACACTGACAAAGGTACTTCTATGTAACTCTCAGGGAATTATCCTAAGGCACACATAAGGTCATTTTGACATGGGGAAGGGGAATTGTGTCCAGGGTGGGGAAGGTGGTGTATTGCTACCGTGCTCATATGTATAACCTGCTTGTATTTTGTATTATACTTCTAACCACATAATGTGCTGTCAATTTTTGTTCAACTTCTCAGTCACCCTTATGTCTTAGAATGTATTTTAAATATAAGGTTTTGCAGATTTGCATGCTATGAATAATGTAAAAGCAAGAAGAAATCCAATTGGCAAAAGCATACCATTTCTGAAATAATTTATAGATGTGGAAAATTATCTATTTGGATTTAATAATTTCTCTAGTGAATGTAGAACAAAATTGTATCCATAGAAATATACTTATCTACCTAGCACTATTTTCTTAAATATCTGTATGACCCTATCTTGTACCAAGTACATATATGTTTCTTCTATATACTTAAATTTATCATTTGGTCTATTCTCTCCTATAATATTTGTTTTTGCAAGACCTTATCTTTAATATATATGAAATAAAATGTTCCACAGAATAAGCTGCAGGGTATTGGAAAATGGGAAATAAGTTTGCAAGGCCTTACCCCTGCCCCCCAGGACAGTTTTGTATAGGAGGGGGAAGCTTGTGGAGGAATGTCTCACACTGACAGCTGCTTCTGCTTGGGTTTCAGATTCAAGGCCTCTTCCAGATGTAGCCCTGACTGGAAAATGCACTCGAGAGTGTGATGAGTACGGCCACTCAGATTCCTGCTGGATGCCTGTCCGCACTTCTCCAGAGAGGAAGAAGAGCCAACCCAAACTCTCCACTTTCATGCCGGTCGATGAACGAGGGAGCCAGGAAAAACTGGCTAATGGCGAGGCCGCCATCATGGGTGACCGCAACAGAAACCTCCTGAACAAAAAGTTGACCTCGTCCTATGAGACCTTCAGTGCAGCCAGTTTCAGCAAAAATGAGGAAGCCAACCCTGAGGATATTCCCCTGACAAAAACGGGGGAATATAAGCCATCTCCTGTCAATACTCTCACTAGAAGAGAAGTGTACCTGTAGGCTATCAAGGAGCAACAGCAAAGTGCTTTTCATGTATGAGAAGGAGAATGAGGGGCAAAAAACCTTACAAAGCAAAACCATTTAATCACAAAGAGGGGGCTACCAAAGAGTCAAAGCTTTGCCTGCCACTTCTGCCTCCAGATCAGGCCTTTAGCGATACCGTTAGCCTGATTACAATGTACAATGTAGACTCCATCCTTGTTACTTGCATGTCTAACCCTCTCACTGGTCCCCAACACCCACTTTCTCTTCCCCACTCCCTTCCAAAAAGAAAAAAGAAAAAAAAAGATGGTTGCAAGTTCCTTTCATGGTAACAAGCCTGATCAGCAGAACACAACACACTCTCATTATCCCTAAGCTGAAGCATGATTTTAGTCACTTTGATTTTGTTCGAGTGTCATCCGGCTAGTTAAAAAAAAGCAGAAGGTAAATTATATTCGAAATACCCTCAAAATATGGTTTATCAATATCAAAGGCAATCCTTTGAAAGTGATAACAACCCTCTAAAGATACAGTCCTCACAAAGGTGGACTCTCCTCAAATGCATTCCGGGAAGATCACAGCTTTACCATTCTAGCAAAGACTAAGAGCAAAACAACACTGAAGGGGGATCGCAGTCCCAAACTGGCATTATGTTGTTATTTTCAGGTCAAGAGCATCAACTTCAGTTCCATACATTCACTCAAGATTCTCATATAATCTTGATTACATATATCAATTACACTAATTATTACTTGTAAAAAATATTTTTTTTCAGAACAGGACCATAATTATCAACTAACTTGAACAATTTTGTCATTATGAGGCCAAAGATCATACGGCAGATCAGGGAAATCATGAAGTTGATTTAGTCTTGGCGTGGAAATCCATTAAACAACAAAAGCAACGGAACCCATACACAAACAGAAATACTCAAATACTAGTTTAGTTTATATGTCTCTATGCCCAGAAACCATCTTACTTCTTTTAAAATGGATTTATTTGAAAGCTCAGAAAATGAGAGATATATTTGTTACTGTAATAGTCAACATGTTGAGGTTCAAGTTTAATTTCAGATAGTATTATCAGGGAAGATTGCACTTTTTAAAGTCATAATTATGGGTAGTCAGGTAAAGAAAGAAAGATACATTGGTGTATGGTCTAAGTAGTTAAGTCCACTGGTATCCTTTTAGAATCCCAGCTCTGCTTGCTGGTTTTATTCACATTTAAAACAACAATTGCATTTGCGTCTGTTCAGTAGTACTTGCAAAATTAAGTGCACTAATTTTGAATTCTTCACAATGTAGAAATGTTTTAAGACTCACAGCATTGAAATACGGTGAGAAGTTAATTGATTTTGTCACTAATGTGATTTGACCATTATTTAATATATATCTTAAATGAATCTATACTGAACATGAAAGAAATGAGTTCTGGACAGTGACATTTCTCACAGTTTATACATCTTAAAGTTGGAAAACATGGAGTTTTGTCAGTGCAATACAAAGAAGCAGAATATGCACATATTTAGCCATTTGCTGTACACAAGATGATATAAAAACTTTAAAATTGAGCTGGGACATTCAAATGAAAGTGACAATCCATGGACAGAATAGGGGATAACAGGTAAAGAGAGCAAATGTTCTCATCACTGAATGTGTGTAACCTGGTTAAGGCATAACTTTGATGGCTCTCTAGGAAACTGTAGACAAAAAGTAGCTTTGAGTAGTTTCATGCTTTGCAGAATTTCTTAGACTACAAGGTGAAGAAGCAGCCTGGAATATAGGTTGATAATTCACCATAGGTCATCAAAATACTTACTAGAAAACCACTTCTCTGTTTGGTGGGACACTCTTTTGGAAACATTTCCTTATGCTCTTTCTTAAATGGAGTTTTCTTTTGATGTTAGTTTGTGTAAAATAGGTAGGATGAAAAATGATAGGTAATTGAAGCAAAAACATTGGACTAAAATATCAGTAATTGAACATGTTTATGTTTGATTATTATTTACACTATGGAAAGATGCAATTCTAGTACTTTGTTAGGAAACTGCATTAAAGCAGTTCTGCCTTGTATAATCTGTAAGTACCTATTAAGACAAAATACTTCTAAAGATACTTATGAAATGTATACATATTTTTCTTGCACGTTACAAAGGAAATAATTGCATAACACAGATGTTCAGCGAACATTTTTTAATGTGTTTTTTTGTTTCTTTCTTTCACAAGACACTTGAAACCACTTAGGTAGCTCATTTCACTCTATCTTAAAACCCTTCTATTGTCTATGAAGCTAATACGGGTCATGCTGGACCTTCAAATTAATTGGCTCCACCTTTCCCAATGATGTTTGCACCACATTCAGGACAGTCATGTCATTGTCATTTAACTCGTGAACCTCTCTTTAGAACTAAAATGGGTGTGAAAGAATAAAATTCAGTGTACTGTAAGTATTCGCAGTAATTCTAGTAGAATTAGCTATCATAACATGTTTATTATATAATGAGCTGGCATGACACAGAAATATATTTTGTGTTTGTATGACTTTTATTTTGAATAGGTTAAATCTGGTGCCACTCCATATATAGAGTGCTTTTGGAAAAAAAATCAATAAAAAGAAACAAAAAAAATAAATACATGAGTGAATGCAAAATAAGCAACTGTGCCTTTTATACCTGTTGTTATGGTAAAAAAACGGTTGTTGGGTTTGGACAATGAGGGGAAATGGGCTATTCCCAACTTTTTGATCCTGTATATTTATCCATGTTTATTTTCTGAAAATAATAAATAATATATTAAAAATTTGCCTTCTGACAAACTCAGATAATAGACCAGTCTTAAATATTGTTCATTCATAAAATGAAATTCAGGCATTACTATGGGCTGCATAAACTCACTGGAAGAAAGCATTTATTTTACAAGTAACACAAAGACATATTAGCAGGGGTGAAATCAGTCTATTTTGTAAGATAAAATATTGATTTAGAATTTTTATTCTTTTTTCTGTTTGTTTTTTTTTTCAGCTGCTTCTTCATTTGGTTGTACAGTATATAAACAATACTTTTTTTTCCGTACACAAGAATTTCAAGTGAACTTTTCTGCATGCATTACACATTTGGACACATTTATTAATTGAGTAACTATATAAATTTATGTGTATTAAAACATCTGTAGCACCAATCTAAAAATCTACTGCTCTTTCTGATTCTCCAGACATCATTTCTGTACATTTTTTGACTGGCCTGCTGCCTGAGTTTCAGAAAACAAGGGAGGCATTATTTTTATGGGAGGAGGAACTAAGATGGTACTAAGGACATCTGTCTGAAAGGCTACCCTGGGAAGCTGTCTTATAGGAAAATAAAATAACACACAGACCAGAAGAAACTGCCAAGAATCCAACAGCCATCCTAAAGCAGTTGTGAAAAATCTGAAGACTTAAGTCACTTTAGGTATATTATATCAGCAATCCATAATGTGTCCTTAAGAGAAAAAAAGAAAGGAATGAAGCTTATCAGGAAGATAATAATACTTGATAGTCATGACCCAAGTGGAGGTTTATAAAACATCTGGAGGAGGCATCATTTTCTCAGCTACCTAGGGTTATTTTCAGACAACTTTTCCTACATTTTAAAGCACTTGCATTCAGTGTGGTACGATCTGTTTGTAATGTTGATCATTGGCTATTGTTCTGCTACTTGGATGTTGATAGTGAAGCAGAGAACAATTTATCATCATTTATTATGAGTCACTATGCACGCAACTATGCTAAACATGACGAAATGTATTAAACACTCGTCCAACTATTTATGAACTCTTTACATAATTTAATTTGCTTTTGTACAGTTTTATGTAAATAAATTGCTTGTCATTTTTGTCTCTGCAAATTAAAATATAACATGGTCAAATGGTTTCACACTTGTAAGTGTACTTCTCTGTTGATAGGTAATACCGTTTTGATTGGAAGAGAAGTGAATGGGTGAAAGGACCAGTTTGACTTAAGATGGTTTGCTTTCTTCTAAATGAAGATAGAGCAAGAAGATAATGTAGCTGTAATAATTGATTTGGGGGACACAGGGAGAATAACTGTCCCATTACTTGCTTGATAATAGACTGATTACTGGGATTCTTTAGTTTCATCAGAATAATTCCTGAGATACTTGCTTATCTAGCTTTGAAATCTTAGTCAAAGAAAAATCTCACTATTAATATAAAGATTGAATTTTTTCAGAGTTATCTATAGAAATTTCATATTTAAAGTAATTAATCCTGACTCAGATTGTATCTCTATGTAGGAATTATCATCTTCATCTTCATAATGCTCATTTTACAATTCTGGGGATCCAACTCAGAGCCTTATTTGTTATGCTCTACCATTGAGCTGCATCCCCAATCTAGGAAATGTTACTTTACAATCCAAATTAGTAACAAACAGAAAAAAAGAATTATAAACTAAAAAAACTTAAATCATAAAATAAGAAAAATATCTTAGAACACATTATTTTTTTCCTTGATCACTTATTTATTTATTTTGTTTGGTCTTCCCTACCTATTATATTTCTTTCATTTATTGCTTTTTATGTTTTAACCATTCCATTTGCTATTTATTACAACATTGTACACAAAACATAATAATTATCTTCATTATTTACAAAGTTAGCATCTATTTCAAAATAGAGTCTTCTCTAACCCTTCAATTGTGAACTTTCTTCCAAGTATGATTCTTCATAGAAGAATACAATATCTTCTATACATACTAAAGGATTGCATAGAATTTTTTGTCCCCATCTCTACTCATGTGAAAAAAAACAGACATTGTAGAGATCCTTAATTTGAAGTTATTATATTTTTTCCTCCCTTATTTGAAAATTCAACATATTTTATATAGAATGACTTACATTCTTGAATAAAAGATCCTTATGAATTGATTTTGACTGGCAGGCAGTGTTCCTTCCCTACAGAAGAAAGTAGGATGAAGCAGGATGCAGAAATCTACCTCAGGTGGTAATGGGGTGAAAAAAAAAAGTCACGTTCACTCATTGTTACTATTCTTTTAATTGTTAGAACTCAACACCAGTACATAATTCAATGGAAGAGCCCATTAAATTAAGTCAGTATGTATTCAATTTTTTTTTCTTTTTTGTCCACGCTTTTTATTGGTACATTAGAGTTATATTCAATTTTAAACTCTTGATTTAAATTTCGAAGAACATTTACTGTACCCTGAAATGGCATGCTTAAGTTAAAATATTTTAAAACAAAACAACACCTTCAAACATGTAAATATAGTGTTGCACTTTAGAGGAAGATAAACATGAAGTCAGTCAAGGGAGTCCACAGAATTTGCACAGTATTCCTTGCAAGACTTAGGATTCATTTTCCTACCATCTCTGATCCCTTGAAAGAGTTCTGTCTTGTAACTTAGAAGCTGCACAAGACAGTGACCTGTACAATCCCTTACATTTCCAAAACACATTGTAGTTTACAAAGTACTTTCAGATTTACCTCAAAATGTTCATAATACTTGCAATATAAATTGCAGAAACTTTTATATCAGTCACCCCTGAAGATGAACTTTACTTTCATTAAATAATAATCTTCATATTGATAAAAATTCAGACACATATGTCTACCAATATTAATATTCTTTCTTCTCTTGGCTCATATATCAATTAATGCATTTCTACATGACTTAGTGACAAAAAAAAAAAAAGACACTCTCCACATTTACCTGAATAAAATAGTCCTTTGGTAAAGTAAGCATTTAAGTAGGGGGACACTAATTATGCAGATTGGCAGATATTTACCTTCGGATGATATTATATTGTTACCCTGGAAATATTGTAACTTACTTTTGATAACCAAATCATAAACAGAAAACATACAGCATTATGTCTTCCTGTTGAATGACCTGGCCTTATCTATAAGACAATAAGATTTTGGTGAAACTTTGTTGCAAAATTTATCTTTGGGGATTTGAATTATCACAATTGACAGCGCTATCAAATGGACCAAATAATGGCACATTTAAGAAATTGACTTTAGTTTCAATAGACTGACTTCACAAAGAAATTGTCAGTTGAGGTCTTGCCTTTATCTTTTCCTCTTTTGACAGTTCATCTTCTTGTGTCCCTATCCCAAAGTCTTTTGCCACACGGAGAAGTTATTTACTCTGTGTTTTCCCCTTTTCAAAACAAACTTGGTTTTCCCAGGAAGGAGAGGTGATGTTAGGTAGCTAACCAGGGGCTAGAGGATTTACTACCCAGTCATCTTTATTTTATTGGGAATTTACAGAATCAACTACTTGAGCTCTTAGGAATTGAAGTGAATAGGGACCAAACTACTAATTTGCTTTTTTTTTTTTTTTTTTTTGCCTCTATACCCTACTCTAATGCTTGTTTATAAACTGCATGCAGGAAGGTGATTAAACATGATAATATAAATTTTCTTAACGACAGGGAATAATCAAAGAATATGAATGTAAAATATGGAAAGCTAAAAATCTATTAAATGTTGTTGTTTCTATTAAATGTAAATTTCATTCATTGGTAGAATTGAATATGTGTGACCCAAACAAATAATTTTTAGTTATTGAACTTCCTGAGCGAAGATAAAAAAAATGGTCAAGAGTTCATAACTATACAATTTTTTCCCAATTCTCTTTGATGATGCTAAAAAAATATTGTTTACTAATGATGTGCAGTGTTGTTTTTCCATTAAAAGTTATGTATCAAATGATCCATTATCAGAAAGGCCATAAGAAAAATGCATGAGTTCAACAGTAATATTAGATATAATCTTAAAGATTAGGATGCGATTTGAAATTTTAAATATTTATTAATGTTTCTGATAAAAAAAAAAACCCTACCAAACAAACAACTGAATAAGTAAACTTAAAGTGGGGAGGGTCAAAGACACATTTTTTAAATTTTAACAATTTATTTGAAAGTGCACTATAATCTTCTAGACTTAATAGGATCATGTTAGTTTTTTTTTTCTAAACATGTTATATATAATATTATATGGAATATTTTATTGCAGTTTTATGGATTGTTATATAAAATTTTGACCACATATTTAAACCATTTTAGAGTATACTGGTATAAAGGAAGTAAGGGCAAAAAATACTAGGAAGCAGCAAATAAGTAAAGTTTAACTAGATCATTTACTTAGAGTTTTAACACCTGCCTCCAAAAGGAAACCATTCCTTGACTGCTTTTCCACACCTTTCAGTACAGCTGGACTAGGGTAGAATAGCATTTCTTTAAACTAGAATTTGAGTTCACAGCGATTTCAGACTAAGGAACATAGGTTTTCTACAAGAATTTTAAGTGCTGTGTTTTATTAATGTAACATTCAAGGTGATCTTTTAGCATAATTTTCAGTGATATTTCTCAGTTGAAGCTGATTTTATGTTTGCTTTGTAAGTCAGTGTTTATACACATATTGTTAAACAACTGTATTTTCTGGAGTTTGAAAGCCTTCTTTCTTTTTCTTACAGGGGTTCATGCTTTATTTAGTTGAGAGAAACACCAAATCAGAGAATTGGATAAATAATATTAATAATAAGTATTATATAAGTGTGTGATGAAAGTAGAAAATTTATTAGTATATACAGAGTTTAACATACTTTTTTCTGTAAAGGACAATAGCATTCTGGGCTTTGCAATTTGAGAAATAAAATGAAGGATATTTTGCAGGCACTTATATATGACTAGACAGAACAAATTTGATTTTATAAAAGTCTTTTTGATGTGTAAATATTGTTCAGAACTGAGGAAGACAAGACAGCAGGACTGAATTTGAACAACAAATCTTAGTTTGCTGACCCTGATATATACCAAAAACTACTTCAATTTGTAGTACTTTAGAATCCATCCATAAAACTCCTCTTTCTCCTTTCTAAAATGTGTCCTTCTTTGTCTAGAACAATGATGGCTTACGGTTTCATCCAGCAAGCTTATAATTGTTGTACTTTACAGTTACATAATACGGTTACCGTAGTTTCCAGAGTTATTTCTTACATTGACCAGCTTCCCCTCGACTAATTATGTAAAATTCCCATCCTTAGATCAAAAAAAGGTGGACTCTATGAGAAATGCCGGCTATTATGTATAAGGCTATCAGGCCACTGGCAGAAAGCTCATCTATTAATGCAGGAATTATCATTGTTCACTCAACAAAAATCACAAAACAGTGCCTTATTCTAGAAGTGCCCAATTGGGTTTAGAGGTAGGAGATTTGCTATTTTCTATTGTATCAAAAAGCTTTAAACATATTTCCATTTAAATACCATAGATAAATGCCCCTTATCCATGGCAAAAAAAAATAGTGTCTAGTTTCATAGTTAGAGAATAATGTACATGAAATAATAAGGAAGACACACTGCAATGAGCGCAACAACATACTTACAGCCTTGTGATTAATTTTACTTGTTTTTCTGTTTCCCAACTGTATACATTGGATATCTTTTACATTAGTAATTTTGAAAGTGAGCATTTTGAAAGTATTCCAAAATTATGGGTAGTTGAGTGAATAAACTTAAGATTAGTAAGAGAAATAATTTTAAAACAAGAATTTTTAATCTAATAATATTTCAAAGAAAGTTGTATTTAAAAAATTTAGATTATCAATGCCTGTGACATTTGATATGAGCTATTTAATATTTCAGTGGAGTGTCTAAGGTATGCTAAATAACTTTAAAGATTATTATTATCAAATTAGTACAAAGGAACCCTTCTTATAAAGCCTAAACCTCAAAACTGTCTAGTCGTTGATTTAAATGTGAAGTTTATATTCTGAGGAAAGTAATACATAATGGTGGAAAAAAATTGACAGCTATGTAGGAAAATATGGATGGGGATTTAGTATGTAAACTGGACTATTTCTGTGTAAATTCTTTAATACAAGTAT